GTGCTCCATGCCTGGCCCCTATTTCCACATAATGTACTGAATTCCCACGGATTCACCTGAGGCAGTATTCGCCTGAATCCTACATCCATCAGTTCCTTGCTGAGGTTTCCCCAGTTTGGCCAGTGAAGGCAAAGCAGGGAGCATTTCCTGAGGCTCCCGACGCCTCCTCTACCAGAGACTCCTCTGCACCTCAGGATGCACAGAGAGTGCCTTCCCACCCACGGCCAGTGCCCACCAGGCTGGGTGCCCACCTGGATTACAAAGCAGCCTCCCTGCACGAGGCTCTGCAATCTGCGAGCCTGATTTACTTTTTGCAATAAGAGAAAAGATGTAAGTCCCTTTGAGCAAAGCATGCCTGATATATATCACAATATTTATTTTTGGTGGTGTAATGGATCAGTCTTCCGGGAAAGCTCGAGAAAAGGCATTTCTTGAACTGAGATGTAAATCAGTCACTCTGAAAACAAACCACAGGGGAATCTATTTTCTTACCCCCCTGCGAACGGTGCTGTGAGAGAGGCAGGTGGCTTTCTTCAAAGTCAACGCTCTGTTTGTTTCTGGCCCTATCACTAAAGACAGTTAAGAATGTGAGGTCTGAGAAGCAACTGCTCCTGGATATCGGGTTCTCTAAAATGATGGTGCGATGCTAAGTGAAAGCTCAGAGCCAGCCACCCCGGGGGTGTTAAGTCAGGCCCTTGCGAGGTGGGGACGAGCTCTGAGCTCCACGCGAACTACAGCACTCGGCTCTAAGGAAGGGGGACGTACCAGCTGGGCTCAGGACAGCAGGGTCCCCCAAGAGGACCGCCAGTGATCACAGGCTAGTGTCCGTCATGTTAAGGTACTGCAGAACAGGACAGGAGGGAGAGAGGAGGCTCAAGGACAGGGAGGGGAGAGACCTTCGGCGGCTTTGCAACTCAGAGCTCTTCAGGAAAGCTATTTAGATCTGAGCTGCCCCTAATATTAATTATCCCGAACTTCTCCTGGGCTCAGATTCACATGCTAGGAAGAACACAGTCTTTTAATTTTCCTACCTGTCCCTGGCACTGTGACGATAAATCAGACAGACAGAGAAACCGCACACGACTAACGAACCAGCCGTTAATGGGGAGCAAAGATCATTTACCAAGATGACTTCTGCAGTCACCACCACATATCACAACCAGTGACAGTCTGGAGCTTAACACAGCAGGCACGGAGGGCAGGGGCTGGGCACTCCCGGCACTGCAGCCAGCCTCCAGACGCCCGCTTCCAGGCAGGGAAAGATTTTACTCACCGGTGCCACCTCCCCACTCCCTTCAAGTCAGGCTTGTGCTCAGAAAATTTCTGCCATTTCAAAGAGGCTTCTTGGGCTACTCAACACCTAAGCCCCCAAGCCTGGCTGAAGCTATCGCTCTGAGTCTCCTTAGAATTCCAAGCACCCCCAGAGAGAAGCCCCAGCCTCTGCCACCAGCAACTTTGACTGTTAGTTTATAGATTTTTAATGTAGCCATTCAGTCAATTATCTGAGCGCCAACTAAATGTCAGACCCGATTGTAGATGCTTAGGCAGATCCATAAGCAAAACAGTCCACAGACGAGGGTGGGAAGAGAGGAGTCCCCTAATGCCAGCCTCTTTGTTTTACTGCCACGTCTGAGGCGGGGGGCTTCTCCCCCAGGTCAGAGTTGGTAGGGTGGCTCGTCCCTGAACCCAGGCCAGCAAAGCTGCTGCACACAGTAGTGTGTAAGGGACAGCACTGGGCCGAGGGCATGGGGGTGCTGAAATCCACCCTAGGTCCCCTCGGCCGCCCTGAGCTCTGGAGAGGATCCGCATGTACGCAGAGGAAGGGCCCAGCCTACACTGTGCCTGGCAGTACCACACACAGGTCCCAACCCCAGCGCCCCGTCCCATGCTCGGACTCCCCATTCCCTTCGCCACAAGGCCCCCTTCCCTGGAAGACACGACCGAGGCTCCCAGGTCGGCAGCAGACCGGCATGAGCTGGGCCAAGGGCAGGCTGGATTCCTTCCCGGGGATGGAACCCTGGCGAGCTGTACCTTCCCAACTCCGTCATGGACGAGGAGAATGTTTGCACCTAGCCCGTGAGGAGCCCACCGATGGGCTAGGGTCGTTTCCCATTTCATCCTCAAACCTGAAAGCGCAGGCTGGGAACGAGCCTTCACCCCTTCCAGGGCGTTCCTCTCGCGTTCCCACACTGAGGACCTGCCGCCAGAGTTCAACACGGGCCACAGGGATAACCCGCGTCACCATATGCAAGCACCTGCCCTGGGCTCGCTGCTGAGGATACCACAGCGAACATGGCCGCATCAACGCCTCCACTGCGTCCACACCCCTGTCCCTGGCTTCACGGCACTAGGAGATCTTGAAAACTGCTGGGAGAGCCCAGTACCGGAAGTCCGCTTAGGGACCAGGGCTGGGAGCCAGAGTTTCAGGACCAGCCTCCTCTCCTCTCCCTCACCCCACTCCACAGGGAGGTCCAGGAAGGCAAGGGACAGGCTTGCGACAACTCTGCATCTCTGTCTCCCCTCTCCAGCACAATGCTGTGCCCAAGGTTCCCAAACTGGGAGGTGACAAAAGTAGCTGGCTCTAGTGACAAAGCGTTTCCTGATGTGCACACGCCCGGGGCCCGCCTTACCGGCACAGGCCTCCTGGCCGCGTCCATCTCTCACCTGGAATGTTCATAAACAGACCTGGTTGTCCAGACCCCGATGTCCAGCTCTCGCTCACTCTCGTTCATCATCCTCTCTGGCTCTCCCTTGGTATTTACTTTTACTATAAAAACCTCATCTTCTAAGAACAGGGCTCTTTTTATCTGATGCTAGCTCCCCCTGTGCTCCTTGGGTCTAATCAATCCGTGTCTGGAAATAAACCACCCGGAGTGGAAAGCATCAGTCCCTTTTGTGAAGGCAGGCGTCTTTCCAAAACGACCTACCCCAGGGCAGGGCGCAGACGGAAGCTGAAACGAGAAGGAAACAGACACCCCCGCCCAGCGAGCACCCACATTCCTCATCAGGCAGGACGGCGGGCTGGCACCTCCATGTGAGCAACTACGCCCCAAGCTCCAGAGGCCTCACAGTTTGCAGGTTGCGCTGGGGAGGCCAAACTCAAGAAGTGAGCATATAAAGCAGCCCTTCCATTCTAAAGAGCGGAGAGTCTTCCAAGATGGAAAGCGGAGTGCTGACTCCCACTGCCGGTGTAGGCGGTGTAGGCGAACGTGCCTCCAGCTACAACGGGGGTGCAAGGCAAGGTGAGCTAGAAAGAGCCAGACATCTGGCAGCCACAGACCCCCTCCCACCACGGTATTTCACACCCACCTGCCAGGCTCAGCGTCCTCACGCCTCATACCAGCCCCCGCAACCCCGCGAAGGCGGCTGTCTGCAGAGGACCAGGGCCCCCACTGTCCAGCCCCCTCTCCTGCCAGGACTCCCAACCCCAGGCTTCCAGAAATGGGCCACGCGTGCAGAAGCAAATGCAGAAAGTGTCTCTTTCAAGGAGGACAGTAGTTAATCCCTAATCTTTTGGGGGACCCTTTTGAAAATCCGATGGAAGCTCTGGACGAACTGCTTGCATGCGGGGTTTTACATCATTTCAGTGGGTGAGCTACGGGCCTCCTGAGAAGCGCAGAGAGCGCTAACCTGCTCAGAGGCAGAGGCAAAGGCAGCGCCGAGAACGGGAACTGTGGGTGGCTCACGTGAGTACCCCACGCCACGGTTCCGCCTCTGAAAGGGAGAAAATGATGCCCCTCCTTAGCTACCCCAAGTTCCGGCCTGAACCTTCGAGAGTTTAACAAGACCCTGGAAGCCGTGCCACGCACACCCTGCACTCAGCAGTGCCTCGGCTTCTTATGGACTTCACGGAATATCCTGTGGTTGCTTGTTAAGACAAAGCTTCCAACAGGGCTTAGCAGACAAGGCTGAGCAGCAGCCGAGATAAAAGTGGGGGCGAGGCGGCATCAGGAAGGCTAGCCCAGATAAGGAGCAGACCGCCCGGGCTCTCCACTGGCTCTGAGCAGGTCTCAGGGCAGGTCCTGACCCTGTGGCCTGCCCTCCCCGGAAATCCAGACAGACCTGCTGACGCCTGTGCGGCAGACCCAGCAGTGCAGACAGGGCAGCCCTCCGGGGTCTTCTGGATCGGTTCAGAGGGGAGAGCATCCTCTTTTCTAGGAAGGAGACCCTGGACCACTGCTTGCCCACAGCCCCCTCGTGGCCTGGGGGTGTCACTGCAGCCCCCTCTGCATTTCCGGGTCCAAATCTCAGGCAAGCAGCCTTAACAGTGGGTCAGGCAGAATATTTAGGCACCAGTGGTGACTTGGCAACTGTCTTCAAACCAGGACAAGGCTACATCTGCTTCTGATTTCTTAACGTAAGACTCAGAGCAATCCCCCCAAACCCTCGGGGACACAATCCCCACAGGGAACCAGTCCAAGACCTGCCTCATTAAGCCAATAACCTCGGAGCTTCTGTAACACTACCACCGCCGCCCCACCGACCTCCTTCCTGCATCACATGCAATTATGTACAAATTGTTCCAAGGCTCAATAGAAACAGCGAGAACACCAACCTTCTCCGCCTGCAGGTCACAGACTAGGTTACAAAATACCTGCCCAACACCAAACACTCCAGGGTCCTGGGTTTCCAGACAGCAGCTCCTATAGGGGGCTGGCCACGTCAGGACTGAAGGACCAGAAGAACGTGGCCCCGAGCCCTGTCTACAAACAACCAGGCACACGAAGCCGAAGCCGCCTGAACTCTCTGGCCAGTCCACAAAGGGAAGGAGTGACCACGGACCTGAGTCTGGGGCCCAGGGGCTCCTGCCTTCTGTCAGGAGTGGGCATGACCAACCCGGCGGCGGCAGAAAGCACAGCAGAGAAGGTGGAAGTTTGGTACCAGAGTGCAGAGGGTGTCTGAGGGCCTAGGGTGGCCCAGGGACAGAGGACCAGTGGCAGGAAGTGTCTGGGAACAGGAGAGGGTCCTTTCTCAGGGTGGGGAGGAGGGACAGTCTTTACCTCCTTGATTTTCTCCCTCTGGGCTCGCACTTGGCTCTGGGGCTCCTTAGTCTCATCGGCCCTCGTCCCCAGGACCGGATGGCGGAGGCGACTCCGGAACGCGTTGAAGTCAAAGTTGAACGGGACGCTCTGGTCCCGGGAGCTCCGGGCCACGGTGGCCTCTTCCCGGGGCCCCTGGGGGCGGATGCGTCGCGGCCATCCCTTCTTGCGGCGGGGACTGGCCCGGCTGTTGGGGTCGTCCTCGCCCGGGGCCGGTGCGGCGGGGGCCGGGTTAGGAGGCGGCTTCTGCTCGCGAGCCGCAGGGGGGGCGGGGACTTCAGCCCTCACCTCCCGGCCCGCGCCGGCCGCAGCCCCCACGGGGAGGCCGGGACGAAGCCGGGCACTTTCCTCATGAGCATCGTGGTCCCGCGCGGGGTCGGGGGCTGTCAGCTGCGTCCAGAGCCCGGGCACGTGTCCGCGGGGGGCTCGGCGCCGGGAGGGCGTCCAGGGGCGCCGCCCGG